ACTAAAGTAATACAACGAATTAACCCTTTTTCCATCTTACTTCGCTTTTTCTTCGTTTTCTTCCTTTATATTTTCTCTTCAGCCTTTAATACAACGTAAAGCAAGAAAAGACAATACAAAAAGGATGGTGAGGTTGTTCTGGGGATAGTACACTGGCCAGTGCTGGTGCTACCTGATCAGCTGGGCCAGTCATACAGCTGCTGCTGACGATCCTAACGTTCGTTTCGTTGCTTTCTTTTCCCAGAGCGAAATGCTTGAGAAGATGGGCTTTTACCGGTGAAAATCTTTGTTCCTAACCTGATACTGATTGATGTTTTGCGGAGCAATCTAGCACTTGGCCTGTTAAAAACCCCCTCACATTCGCCCTCTGTGAAGGTAGAAGCACTCAGAAAGTAGCTCGAATTGGTAGAAAATGCCAACAGCAACAACAACCCATTGGCAGAACTGTTTCACGAGTTACAAAATTTTTTTTAAAAACCTTTTTCTTCCTCCTTCCCTTTCCTTTTCCTCTTCATCCCACTCTTACTCCTTCTTATCTCACAGTCACCAAAAAATCAGATTACAGGTAACATGTCAACAATGCTCGTGTAACGGCAACTGATACAAGTAACTGATCCCCTTCTGTTTCTTCCCGTCGCCTTTCTCTTTTTCTTTTCCTTATCCATTAAGCACTGCGACCGTCATACTGTCACGAGGTCCTGTTGCGCGGTGTTGAGTTAAAGACTTGTATGACATTTAATGGACCGAAACGTCTTATCTCACTCTTACCTTCTTTTCTCACCACTGTTCTTTCATGCTGTAATCTATCGCGCCTTCTCCATTTAGGCTTTTCCAAGGTAAACCTCGTTGCTACAGTCTGCTTACAAGCAAGCTGATGGCTATTGTAGAGCAGCAAAATGCCAAAATTTTTTTTAATTTTTAGAAAAAACTGAGAAAAATCTCCTCGTCAACGTTGCTAACCATGTCAAGGTCATGCCTATAATGGGGGGTTTTTGAGGCGATTTTAGTGGCCAAACCATAAATTTTCGAGTATTGCTATTTCCTTTTGTTTCACGTACATTATTGAATCGACGTAACTTCTGGTTCGGCCATTTTTTCATGAACGAAATACTGCGTTTTTTTCAGGATTCGGCGGCGAGGTGTATCCAGTACAGCTCAAATAAATCTGCTGGGATCTCGATGAGTGCAGCGGCAGCGGCTCCAGGCCCACGCGATTACGACCATCTGTTCAAGTTGCTAATCATTGGCGATAGTGGTAAGAGCTAGCTTTCTGACTTCGGCCGTTCCGCATTTTGATTTTTTTGGACCGTCCACTTTATTCCCACCCCATTCCGTGCCGGCTCTGCCGTCTGTGTTTACAGTTCAGGGATGAAACACAGACCGGACAACAGCTAATGCACGTACAGGCTTGCTTATCCGGGTATCTGAATTAGCACTCACTGCTTTCCCACAGCTGTCAATATTCGACTGTGTCCCTCTCATCGGCGCGCCTATAGTGCCAAACAAACTTTCATAGTTTGCATCTTAAAAATTTCCAAAACACTTAAGATTACAGTACGGCTCGCTAACGGCCGCAGTGTATTATTATTTAAACTTTTACCCCGTTTATTCATATTCTTCTAATTAGGGATATATTGAATTATTTTTAATAAATTTTTGGTTTTGTTCCGCTGCTTACATGCGTTTCGGCACCACATCTTTGCTTCCCAATGTTTTTGAAGGAGAAAGAAAGAAGAGGAAATCTTTGATGGAGTTAGTCCCTATTTCAGCCATATTTTACTTTTTTTGGCAATTTTACTATTGGCATTTGCTCGGACTACTTCCCAGTTTCTTCCACCTCTGGCGCATGAAAAATCTTATGAACGTGAGTATTCTTATGAACGTGAGTATAGGGGGGAAGGGGGGACATTGGACATTTTAACGTTACTTCAAAAAAATCCCGAACCACTGAAAAAGAGGGTCCTTTGATAACCTTGCAGTAGTTAGCGCCTGGAATATGCATAATTCACTGTCTTTGATTGCCTCAGCATCTCATAGACAGCGAATTATGCATATTTCAAGCTTTTTGAGCGATTTTGGCCCTTTCCAGGAATTAATTTGGCTCCGTGACTTTGTTTGATAGATTAGAAATTCAGGCAGTGCTATTTAGTGATTTCATTTTGGATTTTTTTCAAAAAAAAAAACCAATTTCCTTAAAAATGAACAATCCTAATCAAAGCAACGCGAAATTTAGCCAAAAGGGACGCATAAACGGATAAAAAATCGCATACCTCTCCCCTGGAAGACGCAAAATATAATAATTGCAATTAGAAATTTATTGAAAAAGGGCGTAATTTGATCAAAAAGCCACAAAATCTAGCAAAAATTTTAAGAATATCAAGACTGCTTGGACAATCGGAGTGAGGATTTCATCGTGAAGTTAGTGCTGGGCAAGGGGGATACCAGATTTTTTGGCCTGTGTACCTTTAACTGTTACCTACCGCCTTTTTGATAGCCATTTCTGCGGGATCTTAATCAAAAAAAGGTGCCAAACTTGGTCTTTGGGGTGTCAGCAAGCGAAGGTTTGATGTTCGGATTTGACGTATTGCTGTTTGCGTTCTTCTATTCCTGCTGGTGAATGAATTGTTTTTTTTTCCCCAAAAAAAACAAAATATTTGAATAAATACTGATTTTTGATGTAATCTGCGGAAAGAGATGAGCATGGATTGTTTCCTTTTTTTTTTCGAAAGAAATAAAGAATATGAATAAATACCGATTTCTGGTATAATCTACATTGATTCTGGTTTTATGCGGTGCCTTCTGTTGCAGGTGTTGGCAAGAGCAGTTTATTACTTCGATTTGCTGATAATACATTTTCTCGTAAGTTCCAGTTTCTTGTTTTCATAAAACTACAGGAAATCTTCTTTCGCTTTACCTAGCTGCCCTTTTCCTTCAGTGAACTTCGAGAGGTACCATCAACAAACAAAAACTCATGTTTAATTCCCTCAAATTTTTTTTTGTACGAAACCATTTGAACTGTTGGGCTGGTGAGTATCAGAATAAGGCAGACTTAAACCGAAGAGGTGCGAAATTTGGTTGAACAAAGAGAAGAATCGGTTCGAAGGGGGCGAAACTCAACAAAGATTTGGATTTTTGGTTAAACGAGGAGGAAAAAAGTTCGGGGAGGCCAAACTCAGCAAAGATTGGATTTCGGGTTTTCTGAGTGAACCCCACAGACTTGATTCGTTATTAAGGGAATTTATTTTGCCTATAGTTGGGCTGTCACTAGAGGAAAAAAATTTATATGATCAGCGATATCCTTCCCAGATTGATAAAGCGAAAGGGATATAATACCATCTTGTTGAAAGCGTTAATCATGGGATGGGGCGAGTGGTGAAAGTTATGGAAAAGACTAAAAAATAATTAAAAATTACAATAGAAAAATGAAATTTCTAGTTTGTATTTGTGAACCTATTTAATAACCATTTAATTTAAACAGGAAGTATTTTATCAGTCTTTTGTTTCTTGCCATTGATAAATTTAGGTGCTATGCCATTTTGTTGTTCTGAGCTTTTTTATCGTGTGCATTCAGCATAGCCTAGGTGCCTCTGCAGTGTGCTGAGTCCATCTGTTATCTCTCATTCTCATCACACTACAAGCAGCTTTTCTCCCCGATGCACTGCTTTGAAATCTTCACTTATTTTAGACCGGAATTTTTTTACTTCGTTCGAAACGTTATTCACAGTTTTATAGCTTTAAAAATGCGCCATTCTAGTCTATCCAGCTTACTTCTTTTTTTGAGAATAGTAGTAAATTTACACAAGTTAAGTAAAAAATAACATGGAATTTTGCCTTGAATTGTATTTGACCTGTTTTTTTATCAGAAACAGGTAATTTCGGCAAAATTCATACTAGCATAAAGCGAATTTTGGAATTTTTATGAAGTACAACGAACAATGGTTTTATCTACCCCTTAATACAAAGGGCATTTTCTCACTGTCACTGCCTGTGCACGAGAACATTCCTGGGGGCTGAATTTGATAACTTTAAGTGGTATACGGGCTGGGAACATCCCCTGAAAATTTCAGCCTCTCAGCTTTGCTAGTTCCAGAGTTAGCCAAACATTTCTGCTTCCCGTAACTCTGAAATTTCTGCATAAATTGTACAGGTGGGCTATTCTGCCCTCGCTAGGATAGCATCCCTAATGTTTTCCTGAAATCACTTACGTACATAGAGCTATCTGCTTCCAGTTATTCTCGGCTTTTGCGTAAATAGGCGGCGAGTTATTTTTGTTTTGCACCATTTTCTGCAGGCACTGTTCGCCCAGATCAGGGTCAAAGCGCACCAGTACAGGCAATCTACTGATACCAGCTTACCACGCACAGCGTGATGGCCCTTAGCAAAACAGCACCTCACGTCTCGTACTCATATGTATAGACATAGCTGCTTTTTTCTTGCACTTCTGTATGAAATGATTTTTGTTTTTGTTTTTTTTTGTACTGTTTTTCTTCACTTTTTTTGCATAAAAACAGTTGTAAATATAATTTATTGCGAAATCTTGAAGATTTCTGTGTTTTCTTTTTCTTCAGCTAACTATATCACAACAATTGGAGTGGATTTCAAGATACGTACTGTAACAATCAATGGGCAACGTGTGAAATTGCAAATTTGGGATACAGCTGGCCAGGAACGATTTCGTACCATCACTTCCACGTATGTTTTTCATCAGTTT